TGAGATTGTGCTGTGAGTATGCTTGTGGTGTGTTAGCTTTTCTGTTTGTCTTCCATTTCAGCTCTGTCCGAGTGACCCAGGTTCTCGCAATGGCATCCAAGTCAACGTGTATTGGTCGTGATGGAAAAAAGGGGTTGGATCCGTTATTTGCTGGGGAGTGTCAATGTAGTTGAAGATTGAACGATCAATTCATGGTTGATTGCTCAAACCAATCCATATTTTTAGAGGGAGTCATCAATCCAGCAATCATCGTGTCAGTGCGCTGTTGAATGGAAGATAAATGATATCAGAAACACTGTGTAATTTTACCTTATTTTTGGTTACATACTGGCGTAAGAGTACGGGATTCTCGATTCGCCAGTCTGTGTTCTGGTTTATCATGTTGGTTAGTATGAATTGTTTCTAAAAGTCTTCGAGGGACAGCGTGAGGTCCAGCGTAGTAAGAGCTGGACATTGACAGTTTCTTTTAGTTAGCTAACTAAGGGTGACTGGTAATTTTGTGTGGTGTTTAAGTGTTTGTATCGAATTTATTGTATATATCTATATATAGGAAATGAAACTTTCGCAATATGAATAACACAAATAACAGTGTTTCGATAAAAACTGTAAACATTTTAGGAACTTCAACCAGGACGTCATAACGTGCCTGGGGTAGAAAATCACGCATTTATTTGGCCGATGCTTAGGTTCGTACTATAACAATCAAATTCGTTTCTAGTTGAGGCTAACGAGTGAATGATCGCAGTGCCCTTGGAGCTGTTTAATCCCATGGGTCTCAAGAATCTATATGCCCCGCTAAATCTGTCACGAAGAAAAAGTTTTGGAATTACGAGGCAATGGGAATTTATGATGGTGAGCAGCCTTAAGACACTGGGAAACATCATCATCGCCTGAGCTCTGAAGGCCGATTGTCCACAGCCACATTTTGCATCTGACAGTAAAAACAAACGAATGTAGCTATAATTCCGTGAAATTCTTTGATCTCTTGCAAGTTAATGACGTGATTTTAGTTGAGGTTCGCAGATAACTGACTTTAAATTATTAATTCAATGTAAGGATGTGGTCTTGTAGAACTGGTGGGCAAAGTGTGACTAACACTGACCCACCCCCCTCGTACGAACAGCGGAAATATTTGGGTTAGTGTTTTGCCCGAAAAATTTGTCAATTTAAAAGGCAACTATCAGTCACGCTGTCTTCCATTCATCCACCGCTGTTTCGCGAACAATAAAAATAATCATTGTTTGAACCCTCGTTTCCGTAATAGCTATAAAGATTATATAGGTTTTTGATACGACAGAGAAAACTCCTTGGAAATTAAGTTACAGAAGAAAATTCGTCCGTCCGAAAAAACACTAACAACTACTGAGAAAACTGGAGAGTTTGCTTTTAATTCTGATTCGACAGCTTTCATTTCTGAACACACATAATTATCCAACAAATAGATAATCCTTTAAACGCTTAATTATTTAACAGAATACACCACTCCGTACTTGATTCACACCAGTTATCACTTGTCATTCAGAAAAGTGTGTTTAAATCTTGATAAATAATCATTTGTCGGTAATTCTTCGTTCAGCTTTATTAATAGGAAGTGTTACGGGCACCGCACAAATAACTCTTAAGGAGATTGATTTGAAGCCCCTGACCAAAACCGAAGCAAAATCAGATTGTTCCGAATGAAATCAACCGAATTCAAAGAAAACCAAATAGTTCCAGGTAAACTCGACCAAAAAGAGAAACAAGTAAAAACGGTTCCAAATAGAATTGTATTGATCATAGGTTGTAAAGACCTGCAAGATTATTGTTCCATTAACCGAAATTTATCAGACAAATGTGGCGCAAACCTATGAACGTGAGGTTATCCGGCCTCCAAACACGAAAACAAAGTAGTTGGGCCCAAAAGTGACTCGAAATTAACTAATGTATGAATTCGGACAAAAATGGAAATAGCCCAGTTAACCATCAACGGTCTAAACAAAACAAAGTGCGAAATGGTTGACAAAGTACAACTTTAGTGTTTTAAGGTGCAATATTAGAAGCAACATTTAGTTTCACCCTCTGAAGGAATTCGAGCTCGTTCCCGATCGGCTTCAACCAGATAAAGCTCATGACTGTTGTGTGGCAATCTATCCTGTTACAACTAAAGCTCTAGCCACTCTGCCTACTGGCCCTTTACACTCTCCTACCTAACCTGCCAGCAAAGCTGTCATCAACACCGCCACAAATAGCGAAGGGAGAATATAACTCACACGGTTCAAATTTGTATTTATTTGCGATAGCAGAGGTAGACAGTACAGATACGCAATCACGCCACAACGACACCGCTGTACTCTCGTCCTTCGGAAATTATTGATTACTATGTGTTTCACTCTTCACGGATAAAAACTGATACGTGACGTTGAAACGGTTGAGATTCAATTGGTTTGACAAACATATTTGATCCCCTACTAAGCAAACAAATCTTAAAAATTAGGAAACGACCCATGACTAGACCCCTTTGACACACTATTCTGACTACTCTGCCTCCCCAGTCACTTACTTTGAAGTCATTATATTTTATTACCTACCTATCTGTTTACTCGTTTTTAATTTTTTCCTATTCGTTCCATGTGGAACTTGGGTGTTTGAGCTTGAGTCTTGAAGTTTTTGAAAAAGTGGTTCTTTGGGACGGGATGCCGTTGCTAGCCTCACGCCTAAAACTACTTCTTTACCAGCCCTACTCCGGGCTGAGTGAGATCTGGAAACGCATCTGCTCCCAAACCACCAGCTGGGTTAGCGAGTGTGAGCCAAAAACTCAAGCCATTTTAACCTTCACTGGTTATAATATTGTGATTATAACGACCGTTTCCCTTTTAACAAAGTAATACTGACAGGTAAAGGATTGAATCCATTCACAGAAGGATAGTTGTAGCCCAGCAGAAATTTAAAACCTCATATAGTGATGACATCAGACCATCTGTCCTCAAGCAGTGTTCAGAAAGTTTCTGCCAACCCCTAAGCGATCTGTTCCAACACTCCCTTGATGTAGGGAAACTTCCATGTGAATGGAAACGAGCAATCCTATCCCCTATCTTCAAGGGTGGTGACCGGCAGAATGCGACCAGTTACAGACCAGTTGCTCTACTTCCAGTGATATCGAAGATATTGGAAAGTCTCATTGACGACCACATGAGAAAATACTTCGATGGGACTAACCTTCTTCACGAAGCACAGCACGGTTTCAGGAGGGGAAGATCCTGCGTGACGAATCTTCTACTAGCTTGGAACGATTGGACACTATCCTGGGACAAAAAGGTACCAGCCCACGTGATCTTTCTCGACTTTGCGAAAGCATTCGACACAGTTCACCATGGTCTGCTCCTTCACAAAATAAGCAAGGCGGGTGTTTCTGGAGCACTTCTCGCATGGCTGAAAGATTACTTAGGCGAGAGAGAATTCTGCACCAAAGTCAACCGCATCCGATCATCCTGGCACACCTCGGCATCAGGGGTTCCTCAGGGTTCTATCCTAGGGCCGTTGATGTTTTTGATTTTTATCAACGACCTGCCCTCCCAACTAAACTGCTCTGCGCTTCTTTACGCTGACGACGTAAAGATTTGGAGAGCAATAAACTCATCGGAAGACTCAGACAGATTGCAGGCTGACCTGCAAACTCTGGGAAATTGGGCTTTGGCTAACGGAATGCCTTTCAATCTAAAGAAGTGCAAAGTAGTGCAGCTTCATTCCGGCAGGTCACAGAGTGTAAATTACACCCTTGGTGGCCAGAACTTGAGTTGTGTTCCATCAGAGCGTGATCTAGGTCTTATTCTAACAGAAAAGCTAGACACCAGTGGAAATTACTCGAGGGACGTCGCCAAAGCCTACGCAACTTTACACTTTATGCATAGGCAGCTGGGAGCTCTCACTCCCGAACTGTTCTTAAGGTTATATAAGGCATATGTGAGGCCACACCTTGAGGTGCATAATATCATTGCACCTCCGCTACTCAAAAGGGATGCTAACATTCTAGAAAGTGTCCAGAGACGAGCGACAAAATGGGTGATCGGCCTCCGCAACAAATCATATGAGGAAAGACTAAAGAAATTAGGTCTTTTCACACTTAGTTACCGAAGGCACAGGGGAGACCTCATCACCGTCTACCAAATCCTAAATGACCAGGCCCACCCAAATAAAAGCATCCTGCCATTAAGTGATTATAGGCTTCCACGAGGTAACCCGCTAAGGATAGCACACCAGAGACCAAAGACTCGAGTGCGATCACATTTCTTTTCGCTTCGTGTTTGCCGTCTCTGGAACGCTTTACCGGCGGCCGTGACTACAGCGCCATCTCTGGAGATTTTTAAGCGGAAGCTAGACAATCATGCAGAAATGCAAGGTTTGTGTCTCAATGGCTTATCCTCATAAAACTTGAAACCACACTGTCAATGGATAAGCGTACAAACTAAATCCCCACGACCTATTCTGCCTTCTCTCACTCTATCTTTTCCTTAGGTCACCTTTATTATTCCACTTATCTCAACCTATATTATCTACACTACAACCCATTATTTTTATTCTTATTATTATTACTGCTATTCTGCTTTTATGACTACACCGAATGACCAACGGGAGTTAGGTCAAACTCCATTCACGGCAGCAATACAGTCCTAACATACTGCATACTACAAACCACATCTCGACCAATCCCCGCACCACTCCTCCTGGAGTCTACCAGAGCTAAAGCAGTCGAGTGGCGGGACTTACTACGCAGAAGCTCACCGAAGATCTGGAACCTCTACCTCACAATCAAGAAGCGAGCTCAAAGAAATCACTGGTTTATACTAGCTCGTAATCAGGATATTGGATAATCTCCACACCGCTTTTCTTGAAGTCAGCGAAAGCTTTGACAGATAAATAATAGGAAGGACTACACAGAATTTTATCAGGAACCTTCACATTACAATCAAGAAAGCAAGTCCGAAGAAATCACTGTGGTTAACACAAGTTCATTAGGAAGATGTTGGACATTGGATATGTGGTGCGCTTGTTAAGCAGGACGTTACAAAAAGGTGTGCAAACGTAAAAACGTATATGGGTGAAAGGAATATAAAGACAAGGTATTTGTATCTAGCATGCTATACTAATTGGTGTGTTTTATCTTCCTTGAAGCACGGATGTGTATTATATTTCTCTTGTGCTGCATGCATCAGGGTTTAATAATTTAACACAGCAGTAATTGCTCCTTTAAGATGATTATTTCTAATTCCTTTACTTGGTATTAAACCACATAGTGAGAAAGCACTTTTTGCTATCCATGGGTTACTTATTTTTTTCCATTCAAGCCAGTAGGAATGGATTTTTATATTGCAGTCTGGCAATAATGGTTCTGTATTAATCATCACAATTAAATTCTTTACCGTATCCAGGTTTGGTCTGTTGCGGACGGCTTTCTAGATATTATCCTTCAGTTTGTGTTAAATTGATTCAAATTCGGTTTTGAAGTAAGTTCTGATATATCATCTGTTAGTGGTGGATAATGTAAACTAAGTGATACTAATGACTAGCGCGTAGTCATTACTTCTTACTGGGATTTTAACCGTTAGGCTTGTGACATGGGTTAGGTGATTACTAAGGACAAAGTGAAATCTGTAGACACGACAACTTAACAAACCAATTCACTGCGACACTTGCTTCTCTCCTCAGTATTCTGGGGATTTACTTGAAGTTCTGTAAGTGTATTAGGGAAAGTACTCTTCTCCAATAGTCTGGGGTCGGCTGAAAAACATTGAGGATACTAGCTAAATAGCTCTCTTTATGCTATCTGATAATTATCAGTCGTGTCAGTCAGCTACACATGCAGTCATCACGAATGAATAAGTTTGTTAGATTTTTACTAATGAGCGTATTTTCTAACCTACAACTCGAGTACATTAGACACATTGTAATAGGTTATGAAAGGAATAACTGGTGATTATGGATGTTGGAAGTATACAGATGCAATGCTAAGTGAATGATTTTTCCCCCCTAAAACTGGTCTTGTTATTAGCTCATGAAACAACAAGTATTGACTGAATATACTAATGTGTATGTCTTTTTGTGTGGAAATCATGAAATCGTCTAGATGGAGGTGATATTGAGATAGATAAGTTGGTTCTCCAACTTATAGATTTATTGTTTGTAATGACTAAGAAATATACTACAGTAACCCTTTAAGCTAACTTGTAATGTCGAATTAAAATCAAATCAAGACTTATGTTACTTTACATCGTCAGTGAAAATCGATTTAAGCTTGTGAACCAAAAAAATAACTGAGATAGTTAGTTTTAGACAAACTAATGGTGCTCAGAGTCGTTCTAAGTGGCACGGGTGCATAAAGATTTAAATTGAATCATACATGGTGTGTCAAGTCTCCCTATCTAGTCTATGTTTTCATCCTTTGTTTAGTGGTGATTCGAAACTAAGGATGGTTTTACTATAATAGCTTTTCACATTTACTAGATCATTTGTGACTAGACACTAGCTTATAATTTTTATATGATTCCAGCAAGATAATCAGATAAACTGATTAACAAACCAAGAAAAGCTCACCCGTGGTTCTGTCTTTTTTAACCCAGTATTTCATAAATTTCTAATGAATGACAGCTCCATTACTTTTAAGCACGTAGAAAGTCAGGTAAAATGTTAAGGGAATATCATTGACGTCTGACCCCACATGTCAATAATTGTTATATATTGTAAGATTTTTATCAGTATATTTGTATAAATTCCTGTGATTTGATTAATCACTTGCACGAATCAGAATTAGTTATCGTTGCCTTTTACTTGCGCTATGGCATCAGTTATCTGGATAAGCCACAATCTGTAGCTTAGAATGGTTCATTCTAGACCAACCCACGGCATCACATCAATTCGTTGACATTTAACCTAGTTACTTATCGAATTATCTGTCAAAAACAATCCTGTTTCATGAAAACCTAAATAGTGGTTGTTATTAGAACTACCGCTTATTGGACCTATTATGAATATCCTCTGTTGTAAATGTTTACGTGGTTGAGGTTGGAAGTGGCCTAATTAAGTTATCTTTAAAAATAAAAATGCCTCGCTCGGAAGTATGGGCAGTATTTATTGACTTCCAAATTTCTATTAGTAATTCACTTGTAAACTCAGTCTACCTAGTAAGATTTAGGTGGACTAATAGTTTATATATATGTGTGTGTATGGTTCACTGGCTAGTTCAACAACTTGTGGTAATTGATGGAATTTTCAAAACGGTTTACCAAGACGTTTATCATGAAATTAAGCTTAAATGTAAAAACCAAGATTCTGAATGATGGCTGCCGATATTGATGAAATGAATTAAAAATGAAGGCACATGATAATCTTGTCGTAAGAATTCAAACTTTTTTCATCTGAAATTACGGATTTGAACAACTGTAAGTTCGATCAGTGTATTCTTTGTATTTACGTAGGCAAACGTACTACTTATCGAGACAATTCAGTGGTAGTTGCCTGTACAGTATTCTACTACGAAATTTAGTATCAGTAGGAGCTTTCAAGGACGAAGTTGCAACTTAATAGAACTCAGTCTATAGTTATGCATCTAAACATTTCTTTCATTTGTGCACTGAAATAGGACATTTGTAAATATAACTTTCACAATTTAGTTTACTGTGTTTCACACTGGCTGTCTCTAGTGTTTTTCCCCAAACTAATGACACTTGTCAAAATGTGTGACATCCTTTTTAAATCCTTTGAAGCTTTCTTTGCATACTTTATGGACTAAAAGCTAACTTTCTGTTTTTCTTACAGTCAGTTTTTTAAGCAAAATGTAAAGAGACAATAATTAATTTATTATGATATAGCAGTTTCATGATGTTTCGTTCCTTGTTGGAAACTGTATAAACCATTCATAAGGCAGTTAACCAGATAGAGATTCGAATTGACCAATCACTGAGATTCATGAGTCACTATTTTCTTCAGGAATACTTTTTCTTTTTGTTTTTCTAGAGTCTTGATTTTTCTCGGCGCTTTCCGGCTGCACACTTATTTCACAAATACGGTTTGTGTATGCAGAACGATGACAGACGAACCGTTGATAATTAAGGGAGTAACTGGTGAGTAATATTCTATGTTGTTAAACGTTTATGTATAGCACCGTTAATTATTGGTGATTGTTTATTGGAGTTTGTTGTAAAGTCAGCATGTTGATTGGTCGAGTATTCAATTCCCTCACTAATTTGATGGGTTAATCTTGCAGTTTTAGCTCAGCAGTTTGAATTTTACCACTCTGTGTTTTGCTTCGCTCAATAGTTAAGAAGTCTAATTTTCGTTTTAGTTCTTAATAGAATTTATGAGCTCGTTTCCATGCTTCTTCCTTTCATATCGCTTAGAAAAATGATTATCTAGTCTCTTTTAAGACCAAATGTTACTTAGGATATAACGCGTAAGCCTATACACTTTGAGTGAGTTGCTCTATTTGTGTTATTGAAATGCTACTAGGTTTTAACGAAATTTGCCCATATTATTGTCTATCTTAGCGCTTATTCTCTTTTTTATTCATTATTGCAGCTATTCCAGTGAGTTTTAAGGCGGGTCTGACTCACTTCATGTATGCAAAGAAATTAAGAAAAAATGGCATCTTAATATATAATGTTCACCCTTTAATGGATGCGGTAATTGATTTATAATTTACCATGGATTTTTATAGAGATCGTTGTTTGAATTCTTCAAGTCATTCGGTGAAATAACTAGTTTGCGTTATTCTCCGGTAAGTTCTGGTAATAATGTCTTAGTTTATCGATAATAAACTAGCCTGAAGCTCAAGCTGTTTTCGAATTTGACACAGTAGAGTGTGTTGATAAAATTTTGTCCACACCATTGACTAAAATATACGAGTTCAAACTGACAGACATTCATATGCCTGGTATGTTTCAGTTTCATTTGTAATATTTAGATGTTCAGATCGTCATATAAATCAAAATCCAGAGTGGGTAAAAGATTATCAGAAATCAAAGAGTGATTCAGAGACCGTTCTGCAAGATTATTTCAAGAAACGTATTGAATCCAGTAAGAAACCTGATGATGACGGTTGGATTACTGTGACTAAAGGAATACGACCATGATTTAGATCTTGTGTATATTTTCGACGTTGTACATATTTTCAAGATGACTTTTGCGTTGTATATATTTTGGAATAAAATATATATATTCATCTATACATCTTCTTTCTTGTATTCAGTATTTTTAATAATTAGTCTTATTCTAATTTACAAGTATAGAGACAATCAAAGAATTTTCAAGTATTGGTTTTGTAGGGATCTTGTTCGATTGCATGGAGGATTTCATCATGATCTGATATCAGTTAGAGAACCATTTGAAAACCTGGCAGTACTGGACAGCTGTTTTGTCCTAGTTTGGAGCCCTTCATCAGTACGCACCCACTGGGGTTTGAATCCAGGACCTTCTGGTTACAAGGCGAGCCCGTAGACCACTGAGCCACCAATGGTTCTCTAACTGATGTTAGCTCATGATGAAATCCTCCATACAATCAAAGAAGTTTTCTTTGCAAGTTCCAACTTGAGGTCTTTAACTTTTGTTTGGATTAAAGTAGAAACTGTAGACTTTCTAGATTGTAGTTGTAAGGTAATCAACAGTCTAGACTCTATGGCACAAAACTAGTGACAGTAGCTTAAAGATACATACATCCCACCTTGTTTAAAGTTGTAAATACCTTCCTATTCTGTGTTATTCATTGTCTGTCTAATCTCACTTCATACTGCTTTTTCACTTCATAAATTGTAATTCTTTTAATATAATAATAATAACATAAAGTTCGTTGACTTTAGACCATTTAGACCGATAAACAGTCCTACTAGATTCTGCGTTTCAGTGTCTTTTCGCATACTTATCTAGTTGGAGTCTTCAGGATGCTAAGAACCGCTGGTTAGAGACTAGTGGTAATATGACTCAAATGCATTTACTCTTCATGATCTATATCCAGTAAACCTTCATGCTTTTCCGTGTTACTGTTCTTTCCCTTGCACCTTTCTGTCTTTATTATAGTTCTGTTGAATCCTTTTTCTCTTCTCCTCCATCTTTTTGTGCTACATGGAGTATGACAACTTGAACTGCTGCACTTCTGTCCCGAGTTGTGTGTTGAAACTCAGTAAGCCAGTTTATCTGTAAATATTGAAGTAGATATAAGGCCAACTTTTTTTCATGCTCGAATCGTTGTCATAAAATCTCACTCATCTGTAAAACTTAACAGTGAAAATAATAAGTCTAAAGGTTATGTTAAAGAATGTGAAAAACCTTTTGTAAATTTTTAAAACAGTTCACTGTATAAGGCTATCCTAACTTCGTGGTAGTGGTCTTTTGTGGTCTTACTTCTACACCATCTACAATGGAAAGTCCTCCACTACCTCACTTAATTTAGCTGGTATTCCTCAAGGTGCTGTTCTCTCTCCCTTTCTGTTTTCGTTTTTCTTACATAACTTGCCTCATTCTGATGTAGCCACTTTTGTTAAGTATGCCGATGACCTCTCGGTTTCTATGCCTGTCAACTCTCAGTCAGATTGTTCCAAATTAAATAACTTTCTGTCGGAAATTAGTCAGTGGTCCTCTTCAAACGGACTTAGGCTTAATCCGTCTAAATGTCAGGTAGTCAATTTCACTTTCAGACGTAAACGTGACCTACAGCGACTAGTTAGCTCACATGGCCCCACTCTCATTGACGGCACAGAGGTTGAAAATACATCTAATGTCAAGTACCTTGGGCTGAGTTTTTCCACCTATCTTTCCTGGTCTTCCCACATCTTGCTAGTTACTAGAAAGATGTTTCGCTTAACGTTCTACATTAGGAAATTTAGGCAGTCTGGCATAAAGCAGTCTTTGCTTCCTCAGTTTGTCAATTCTTGTATTCTACCCATCCCCTTTACTGCCCCCCATTAATCTTTCCTGGACTACTTAAGAAAGACTTTGCTTTGGTGAGAAGGGCACTGAAAGCCGTTAGTAGGGCAAGTGGGATATCGTTAAACCAACTGGTTAACATTATTGTGGATAGACATATAATGTCATGTAAGAAACTAGCGAATACAATATTGTCGGACACCGAGCATCCTCTCTATACGCAGCTCTCTCCTTGCATTTCATCTGGAAGAACTAGAAGCAGCTATAGGAGGCTATATGCTAGGACTACCAAGTACAAAAACTCCACAATACCATATTTGGCACAGCTGTTATGTGATCAGAAATCCGTTAGGTATGACACGATCAACTTACTGCGGCACTCTAACAAATAGTCCCATTAGTTTTTGTTTTTCCTTCCTCGTTACTATTACACTGTTGTTCTTATCTTCTATCACACATCAACTTTATATTTCATATCCTGTGGTGCATTGTTTGAAATGTAAACTCTGCGCTGTTTTTTTTGATTTTTATTTATCTTTTATTTTTTTGGCGTTGGTTTTTTTTCATTTATTTATTTTTTTGATTTTAAAAGTTTTAAAAAATTTATGAGGTAATTAGATGCAATATATTGTAATGCACGCTGAAAATTCCATACCTGTACCACCACAAATACCGTTTGGAATAAAGCTGTTAATATTATTATTATTATGTCTCAGAAAACCGTGGACAATACAAAAATATAATTTGTTAGTATACTTTTTTTATAAGCATAGTTACCTATTTGACTATATTGTTAATATCAGTGTACGTAAGAATGTGTGCAGTAACTTGGTTCATCTTCCTCTTAAGTATCATGCTTTTCGTGATGCCTTTGTATGTGAAATTTTTGGTAAGGTGTATCTCGACCGATAGCTACTACCTTGATATGGTGGTCAGGCTTGCATATCACAATAACCTAACGATCTACACTGACTTGAATTGATGTTCCTGGAGGTCATACCATTCCAGAAACGTCGTTTGGACAGCGGTTAGGCTAAAAGCAGTTACTATCATAGTGTAATTCGTGTACACTATGTTAGGTGGGGGTATGATGGCGAATTCGTGCTACTGGTGAATGGGGATGTGGTGGTAGTAAGACATTTTTGTCGTACGGCCAACATGGAGAGGAGGAGATTAGAAAAGGTCGACCGCGAAAATTGTACATCTCAACCCACTTTGCGGTGGTTTATAGCCGGCGGTTAGGTCTTAAAACGGACACAACTCCAAAAACCAACTCAAGTAGATCGTCTCAAACATTTGTCTCTTAGGTTCTGCCGTCACTCAACACTAGTGTTGTCTCTGTACCAAGTACTTCAAGAAGAAATCAACTTCCACGGTGTGGGAAGTTGGAAAGTAATAACTGTCCGCATGCCGTCGTTTAGTCAGTGGGTTGTGTTATTTTATGGATGGGTGTATTACTTTTCGAAAAATCAATATTTTTCTGTACGTACGCCTAAAATAGTCTGTATTTACTTGATAAGTAATAACATTAACTTAGACCCTTAGTTGACTACTTCTACGCATTAATCACCTGTTATGTAACAGTTTAGAGGTCTAACTAATGAAGGAAGTGGGTTCTCAACTAAATTCAAATTGTATTTAGATTTAAGCGATATCATTGTATCAAAACAGATGATTGACAATATATATATATAATTTTGAAAATACTTAAATAAATTTTTCGGAAAAATAAGTTTTTATTCATTGAACAGCTCTGTATGCATTCATTTATTGTAAAATCTGATTTCGCACAAAACTTAGGTTATCTTCATCGCATAAATGGGTAAAATAATTAAGATTATTGTGACTGCAGAAGATGGGAGAATTGGTAACTCACTTTCATTAAGGAAAAACATCATATTTATACATACTTAGCTACATTAGAGTTCCGCTAGGTCAGAGGAGAATAAATTGTTCTGATTGGTCAGCAATTGGTCCACGACTAAGCAATTTATCCAATGGGTTTATTTCATGTCCACAATGTAAACTCTGCAGCTGTTTACTTAAAATGTTGATTTCAGTTTTGGGCTCTTCCTATCAATCTGCATTACTCTATATTATTATTGTCATCATTATAAATAACCATGTATAGACGAACATTATCAAGGAATTGCTTACATACCACTGGTTAGTAGATTCTATAGTCAGGTGAATCGCTTAATAAATTATACTAAGTGATTTGATTGTGTGTAGTAGTGCCTTGTGTGCAGTCACGAATAAACCACGTTTAGTAAACGGTAACTTCTGCTGTACTAAAGGGATGGAAGTAATTCAGGCTGTAGTACGCAAATATTTGTCTGTTTGTTTTCAACATAGAGCTCTGCACCGATGTGCAGCAGTTCAAGTCGCCACACTCAATGTAGCGCACAAAGCAAGAGAAGAAAGTAGAAGAAATACATAATAAAGACAGTAGACAGGGATATGGGACAGAAGGAGTAGTAATAACGAAGAGCAATATAGTTTCATTGAAAATTATAATTCACAAGGAGTGGATGCATCTGTGCCACTGAGAACGATTTTGAGCCATGTCACCAATTGTTTCCAACCATTGATTTTTACCGTCCCGAAGACCCCAGCCTGGAAGTCTACACCTTCCTACGTGGCTTAGACTAACTGTCGTGGATTTCATTGACTGGTGAAGCGATGTCTTGGTGTGACCACCACTAGCTCTTTTCCAGCCTGACCCTATGTCGGCTAACATTGCCCGTCGATTGAGAAAGGCGATGACTAGGCATACGTAACACATGTCCTAACCGTCTTAGTTGATGTAGCTTCACAGTCTCGTCGATTGGTTTCCCCTTTTTACCGTGCATTTGACACCTAACCTCAATATTGCTCACTCTGTTATACCACCTAACACGGGAGATAGCGCGCAGGCACCTATGATCAAAGACAACTAGCCTTTTCATATCGTCCACTCTCAATGGCCAGGTCTCACACCCATAAAGGAGGACAGGGCGGACTGGTGAGCAGTACACCCGTCCTTTGGTCGATAGCCAGCCGGATATCACGTCTACGCCAGAGACGGCGTAAACTGGCATGTGCGAAACTAGTCCTCTGTATCCGTCCTGAGATTTCGTCAGAGATCAACCCGTTGTGGCTGATGGTACTTCCCAAATAAGTGAAGTGGTCAACGTGCTCTACCACTTCACTTCCTATTTCTAATCTAGGAGTCGAGTCCTGTTACATCATCTTGCATTTGGCAGGAGCGAATCGCATGCGAAACATTCGTAGATTGCGTCTCAAGGTGTTTAGAAGACTCTGCATTTTGTCAGCGTCCTCGCCGAGGAGGACTATATCGTCTGCATATCCTAAGTCAGCGAGGTTATTTCCTGGTAGCAAGTCAATCTCTGAGTCTCTGAAGTGAGTTAGGGTTAAATCCATTAGTACATCTATGATGAAATTGAAAAG